ATCAATACTTTATCTGTAAGCTATACGAGGCTACAACATCAGACACTTTTTATTGTTTTCAGAGTTTCAGAAAAAAAACAGAACATGAGAAATAAACCAGATTCGATTATATGAAAGAAGTTTGTTACGTTGATAATACTTTTTTGTTGTGGAAATGATATCTGGGTCAAAATAAATGACGCATGACCCGATACCTTATTGAATATAGTAATGGGCATACTGAAAATTTCAATCCATAATTTTCATCATACATAAAGTAACTTTTAAGAATATATTATTCAAATAAATGTAATTTTTTAAGGCAACATTGTAAAAGTCTTAGGATATGATCACATCTAGACACAAACTGTGACAAGTCTTTTTAGCAGGGTAAACAAATAAGAAAAGTTTAGGAAATATCAGAGAAAAGTAAAAAAATGGTTAGAATGCTATGTCAAATCATTTTAGCGCTAACCAGGATAGTGTCAAAAATGAAACTTATTCACAATCAAAGGACATAAACTTGTGCATGAGACCATGAAAGAATATAGCTGCCAATGTTTTTGTAATGCGTTGTTGTGTTATACATACAATTATTTTTGTTAGCTGGACTATCATAAAAGGCGTCTTACACGAGTGTCATAATAAATTATTTATAAATGATTTTAACCTGTCTATTTTATTTCAAGAATGTTTGGATATTCACTGCAATAAGTACCTACGACTGTCTGTGTCTTAGTAAACTTTTTCCGAATTTTATCACACTCTTTTTTCCCTCAATTACAATCAAATATCTTAATATCTCAATGATGTATTATTATTTTTTTTTCTTGTTTTTTTTTTTAACAGAGAAACACATAGCCTGCTGGTTGCAAAGGTTCTAATCATACAACCAGAACAAACCAATATACACATTAATATTATGGCTAACATCTGATCATTCGCTATTCAGTTAATATGTATCTTGAAAGTTTCCCTAAAGGTTTAAGATTAAATTGTAGCTACTGTACTTTAACCGTTAATCCAAAACGTTTACCTGGTACTTATTTGATAAATTATGGCAGAAATTTCAAATGACTTGAATAAAATGATTATAATGATATTTTGTTTGAAGTGTTATGCCAGTCAATTGATTGATAATTGTTTAGATTAAGAGATTAAGAGGCTTAATTTCAGGTTCGAAATTTTGATAATGAACAAAAAACAAACATCTAAGCAAAATACTTGAAATCAAATAATCTGAAATTATCTCCCTGGCATAGATGTAGTTCATTTTGATAACTTCTTTTAAATCGTCAAAGTTTATGTATAAAAAAATCAAACAAAAAATATAATTTTCAAGGTGTATAATCCAACAACCGCTTTAATCGTTTTCATAATATGCTGATTTGCCTTTGGTATTTTAAAAGAATAGTATAACATTGTATGTTAGCAAACGGTAAGTGTTTTATTTCGTGAAGGACGGACACAGGATACTATCAATGTGTGATTACTATTTGATTAATTGGGAACAGAATCAATGCAATAATATAAAATGTTTCAATATTTCGATAATTAACCCAAAAAAATACCATTCGTAGTTACAAATTTACGAACATGGCCATTTCAACTACATGCGCTTTATTATTGTTAAAACTTTCACATTAGATAGTCTACTTGATAACAAAATAGGGGTAATCATTTCCATCATGCAACATTAACCACAATATAATCATCCGATAATACATGTCAAAGCCTTGTGCATATTGTCTAATGTTTAAAAACAAGTACGAATAATGCATTTTGATGATCGTGTCAGATTTTCACTGTGTATAGAATAAATCAGTGGCTGAAGTACTCTAGACATTACATTTCATGTTTTCATTGTAAAGAAATGTAATTATAGTATTATCTGATTTTCACGTGTAATACATTTATGGTTTTTATTGATAGAGTTCATACATGAATATTTTGTACGGAACTAAATGTTTCCATTATGATTCTGTTAAAATGGTTAATTATAGGTTTGTGCAACTTTAAAGAATTTAATGCACAAATTCACTCAATAAATGATTAAGAATTTTAAACGTGCATTTTATTTATGAAAAAGTTGCAAATTCGAGAGAGGGAATGGTTAACTCTCTTATGTAGTTAAAACTTGTGGTCCGACCTTTTAGCTTTTATAAAAATCAACAGCATCCATGTGAATACTATCAATTTATTCCTTAATGTTTTGTCTAAATATGTTTGCGTGCACTTTTTTTATAGAAAGACAAAAAAGCAATAAAATATGATTAAACAAATTCGAGAGAAAGTAATTTAATTTCAATAAGATTAAAATATACGATATATTGATGTTAAGAAAATGAACAGAACCTATGCATACGTATAAACTTTAGTTTTTTGTTGTTTTTTTTTTTTTTTGTGTTTTTTTTTGTTTTTTTTTTGTGGGTTTTTTGAAAGACACCTAATTGATCAACAACCATCGATCAAAGAAATCAACTAAATCAAATGTTAATGGGTCCGTCCATATTTGATAGCTCTCCAATTTTGTTGGTCCGCGACTAGAATAGGTCCAAAACATCGTTAGAAAAGCGTACTGATTTCATAATCTTCATACTTTATCACTTAGTAACACGTGGTGTGTTGGTGTAATATTAATTGTTAATTGTGTCAATTAAATAAACCAATTACCATGAAGTTTTCGACCCGGAACATCTGAACAAATAAGAATATCAACATTTATTTGTGTAACCTTCATTTTGTATAAGTATGTGGGGCACATGTTCAGTGAATGTAATATGAAGATTTTTTCTTGAACGAAGCAAAGAGATTTAAAATGAAATGAACAAATGTTATATCAGTCAATTTTTAATACTTTTTTGATATTGCATTATAATATTGACATTTTAATTCATTTAGAATTCTTTGTTTATACAACATTTCTTCATAGTAACTTATTATATAATAAAAAGTATATATTTTAAATACTCTAATAGTATACATATGAAAACTGACCCGAACTTCTAAACTATTATTCTGCTTCAACCCAAATTGCCTTGCCAATGCCACCAGTTAAGATCATAAAGCAGGTCAAATCCATTACGATGTCCGCGGTTAGTTGTTAAGGTCTTTGACTTTAAACCGCTGTAGGTTTGAGCTGCGTAAGCGCCAGTGAGAAGGCTATCCAGTTAGCTAACGGAACATCGGTGGTTCTACTCAGTTGCTTGTTTGTGCCTGAAATAATGTCAAAGGGCAAGCTGAGGTCTTCCTCCGCCAGTAAAGCTGGAAAGTCTTCATATAGATGGTGGGTCTCATGTATTCAATAACCTTTGAATTTACAATATTGTCAATTCTAGTTTTAGAAAGACACATTTATTTCTATTTATTTGTCATACATAGTTTTAAACAAGCAGAAGCAGAAAAGAAAGCGATTTCAATCAACATGAAATACTGTTTCTATCAATATTGAACGAAATATTAACGATTTTGCTGGAGATATTTATATTGAGTGATAAAATCTTGTATAAACATTTCAAACAAAGGAAATACATTATTATGTTAATTCCGTCCATATTCAGACTCAAAATAGCACGATCAGAGTACAACCACGAAAACATATCTAATGAATTAACATTATATTAAACAAAATGTTTTTATACCATCTCTAATTATTAGTCACGGTTACGTTATGATTCGTTAATCTTACTAGTTTATGGTCTAGGCTATATCAAAGTTCATGAAAGAAAATAAAAGAACCATACTTGAGCTTATGAGACCTTTCAAACTCATCGAAACAACACTGGTAACATCACTGTGAATACTATGCTTAGGTATTTTGTGGTAGCTGTAATCACCTACTTAAATTAGGGGTCAAACTTTCTTGGTCTTTTGGGATCATTTATTTCAATACTTTAACTATTGAAAATTGCATACTACTTAAGCCGGTGCTAGATGGGTGGCATACGTTACATTTTGCGTCACATGCCATTAACAGAATAAATAAAAGCGAGTATACAATGATCATTTATTCATTTTAATACCATTGCTATTGAGGGAGCTCCCATTTCGTTAAACTTATAAACATACATAAAAACTAATTTTCTCATTAATTTTACCAAGATTGTTTAGATTGGGTATGACATTGTCAATACCATTCAGAATGAATTAACTTTTCACTGATATTCAATATATTATTAATGGATTAAATACAGTTGTATTTTACAATCAACTTCTGAAACACCGCTTTGCAGATGTCAGCAAATTTTATATAAAAGATGCAATGCAACATAACAATTAATCAAACTTTAGAAAATCAAATGGCTGGGATACATTTTCTTATTTTCCTTTGATAGTACATTATAGGATAAAGTTTTAAGTGACATAATATCAATAAAGTATAGAGATACATCATTTATAATGAATACACTATACAAACAAGGAACAGCTGTTCCAGTAGATAATCTTTATTTATATTATTTGTATGGAAAATTGTGTTCTAACTTTGAGATCAAATTTTCTTCTCTCATAAAAAGTTTATTTCTGTTTCTGAGTGAAAGAAAAAAACGTTGATAGAAGCGTTTGTATGAATTGTTTTCAACATGCAATAAAATTTAGTGGTAATACCGGATTTATGGACGCTACGTAGTGTTTGATTTCTTTGCTCATGAAGTTGAATAATACAAATTGTTTGGATGCACAAATTACTCCTACAAATTGAGATTCTAAAATTAATATTGATTTATTTCGGAACAAAAGAATAATGGGATAACACAAACGCATTCAAATTTAAGCTGACAATGTTATAAATTGATTAACTGTCAACATTTAACAGTATTAAATCACTGTTTCTGAATTTTGAAGCAGTTGCTACACGCGAAAACCGTGCATTTTCTATGGAAACTAGCATGCTTTATTTCTTAATGGTGATATATCGGCAGGATAAATCTTAGAAGTTCAGGAATAAATGAGGTATAAATACTCAAGATTTGTGTTCATTTAATCAATCAAAAAGTGAAAGCGTACTTTATACTTTCTTTCAGATTGGGTGCAGAACGTCTATTTATTGCTGAGTAGAAGACTTGATAGAAAAGTTATGTAATTATAGACCAAACAAGTATGAGACAACCGGAAGGAAAATCTCGTATTCAAGTTGCTGTACTGAATTAATGATGCATATACAGCAAGAATTTATGAATACAGGCTAATGGAAAATCACAACTATCGGAGGACCGATCGGTGGATATAAGGAAATTAACTGTCAGGCATAGCGGAATAAAGAATGAAAAATTAGTTGACATGCAAAGACATACGTATTAATACAAAGGTATATATGTTTGATATTGTAAGCTCAAGTTTTATCTGGTTGTACGAAGAAGCGAATGTTGTTGGGGGTTTTCGTTAATTTATCATCTTCAATGGTGTTTATTTTAATTCGAACGAGAACCAGCAACAAATGTTGTGCCTGATTGGTATTTACTTATTGGTATAGTGGTTCGAAAATAAGGGTCACTTGCTTAGTACCATTGATACCGTTACTGTTATGTTTAATTTAAAGGAGGGGTAACAATAACTAATATGCTGAGGATGTTGTAGAAATTAAATTCCTGAAACTAAGAAATTGTTATATGACTATCATTGTCAAATGTAGTAAAATGAGAATATAATATTATGTATTACTTTGATTCATTATTCCTTTGAATGTAATTTGTATTAAAATTACGTTCAAGTAGAAGAATAAATATCTTCTTAACTATGTTTTTATCATTAATAACTAATACGTTTACACTTTATTTTACAGAAGAGTTGCTGAATTTGCCTTTTAACAGGAATGATGGCTGACGAGCACCCTGTCTTTTTGCTGAAATGTGTCGCTATTGTTTACTTAGCACATTTAACGCAGTCACATATAAACGGTAAGCATCATATAAGCTATACATCTTTATTACAATAGAAAATAGATGTTTTCATAGTGGTAATTAAAACATTCTATATGCGTTTATTTTGCTACAGCTATTTTTATTCGACATTATCATTATTATAAATTTATAAACAAGTTGATTGATTGATTGATTGATTGATTGATTGATTGGGTGATTGGGTGATTGATTGATTGATTGATTAATTGATTGATTGATTGATTGATTGATTGATTGATTGATTGATTGATTGATTGATTGATTGATTGATTGATTGATTGGGAATTAATATCAGTGAACTAGTCTTCTTGAAATCAGATAACTCATGTTTAAAATCTATTACTATTAATTTTGTTCTGTCTTTTGCATGTTTTGAATGTTATTGAGGAGGAAGAACTTTTCATAAGGATTTTACAATGTATAGATATATAAATGGGTCAACATTTTATGATTAATACAAAAAAGTAATTTCCCTTGAGAAAATAATATATGCTCATTTCTATGATGATTTGATAATTACGATATGAGTTATTTGATCGGATATTTTATTTCAGGGAATATATCTTACACGTTTGATGATTATCCGACCTCTATCCCAGACGAACAAAGACTTTATGAATACTTGATGGATGGTTACGAGAAATCCGTTCGTCCAGTTCGGAATTCCTCGACAGTTCTCGTTGTTCAATTTGCTTTACACCTTAATCAGATCATTGGCTTGGTATGTACTAAAAGTTAATTCTAGCGTTTGTGTTTTATGCCACACTCTTGCATCGATATATCAAAGAACATTTTGTTTTTGTCTTAATTTGTATACCTGATTATGCATATGTTTGTCTCCGTCGTTCTGAACACACGTTCAAACATTCGTCTCGACATCTTTACTTTTAATCAGAATAATCAGTAAAATTCATCCACACCAAAAATTTGATAACATATATCACATAACAGAACAGAACTTTTATTAACGTATACACTGCACGATTATTGTTTATACAACATCAAATTATATACATAATGCACGTGAAAAGCAAGCATGTTTTCAATATTCAACCATGGTCTTTCAAATAGAATGGACTGGAGTCGTACCAATTTTAAGAAAAAAGATGTCTCGGTTGAATCATGTGATTAGGTTTTCTATTGACCGTGATCTGGCATAGAACATCACTGTTCAAATATCAAATTATAGCATAATGTTTTGTTAAATCGTATAAACAGATCCTGGCTACATATCAATATTTTTTCTACTTTAAAAAGTAACAATTTTATAGATTTGCAAAGGTAATTTGGAAATATTTCGTTCCCGGTGTCAAGGTAAAAATCTACTGCTCATATTTGAAAATAGGTCCGAGTTTCATAAGCTTTTAATTAAGGCATTGTTTAATAACAAATAAGAGATTGATTTTACAGAGAAAGATCCTGATTTAACAGAGAACACATCTTGTTATCGATTGTTTATATGCACTTTTATTTTCAATCGGTATTTTTTTTTATTTATTTATTTCTTCTTTTTTATAATTAATTCATAAAATCAGTACATTATATGTTTCAATCGCATGATATATTTCAAGCATACTCTCACATGTAAATTCTATGCTAGAAATCAGTTTGAAAGGATGTGTTATGTGCACCTGTTCTAATTTCTACAATTTGATACCTGTTAAATGATGTATTTACTTAGTTTGTTTGGAAGATATCATTACTGGTAACTTGCCGTCAGTTATATATTGCCACTCAAGTGAACTCTCAATCATCTATGATAAAAAGTTCTAATTATTATTATTATTAAACTGCATTATGGCTTTATTTACCGTAGACCTGCTGCTTAATTCCGTTTGTTAGACAAACTTGCACTTTCGAAAGTTATGTACATTTCATAAAGAAAGTATACACATAATTGTATAAAAATGCAAAAATAGATTTGTGCCCTGTCCTGTTTTTTTTTTTCTTGTTTGGGGTTTGCCTGGGCTCCTTGCCACTGGTTCTTGTTGCTGGTCATGTGGGGGTTGCGTTCATTGAACGCCGCCTTTCCTTGTTGATCTTGTTTATCATATTATATCATATTCGATGCGAACTTACTTTGACAATAACTTTGTTCAATGAAAAAAAAATATCACATGCATCAAAATACTTAGGATCAGACCTTGGCTGGAAACAACACATTGACAAGATCACCAAAAAAGCTAACAACATACTAGGCTTCCTAAAACGTAATCTGAGAAACACAAGCTGTGAAACTAAGACAAAAGCCTACATATCTCTTGTTCGGTCTTACTTAGAAAACTGCTGCACTATTTGGAACCCTTATCACAAAAACCTCATACATAAAGTAGTAATGGTCAAAGAAGAGCAGCACGCTTCACTACAAACAGGTACCATAACACCAGCAGCGTCTCAGATATGCTACATCATCTAAACTGGGAAACATTGGAAACCGCCGTCAAAAAATCAAACTCATTATGTTTTACAAAATCATCCATCAACTTGTAGAGATAGATCCAGGCAAATTCTTAACACCATTTAAACCCAGACCAATGTCGCCATACCGTACCCGATTCCTGCATCAATCAACGTCCAGCTTCTTTCCTCGTTGTATTCCTCATAAGGAACACCTATTGCTGAGGCTCATTCTTTGACATCCTTCAAGAATGAGCTCTCTAGACTAACCTTCTAAGGGGACTTCCATGCACAGTTACGAATTACCGCCAAATGAAGGGCTGGAGCTATGCCAGCAGGGTCTCGGACCTGGGCACCGCCACGGAAGCAAGATTGGTCTTGCCTAGAAAAGTAACTGTGTACAACTACTTTCTGCTACTTCTTTTCTTTTTAATTTCTATTTGGCAAAAAGTGTGTCCGTGTCCTTTTTCTTTCTATCCTATTTTTATTTCTCTTTAATCTTCTTTCTAGTGCACCGTTAAATTCATGTCAAGTTTGACAGTTTAACGTACAGATGTAGATGTAGATGTAAATAGACAAGATAAAGAATTTTAAGACATGCCCGAAACATACGAAAGACCAGTGGGACATTTCAACTTCATAAATTCATTTTTTAATTTTTACGATTTCAATTTCACGAATTCAAGATTTCATCTTCAATGAGATGAAATTGTGTATTCATGAATTTTGAAATTGCAAATGCGTGAATTCTGTATGTTTAAATCATGCAGATGAAATTGAAAATTCGTGAAGATGAACCGGAAAATTCAAGAAATGAAATGCTACCACTTTTCTTTCGAAGAAATATGATACTTGTCATTCCACAATTGCAAACAATATTATTATGCCCCCACTTCGAAGAAGAGGGGCGTCCGTGGCCGAGTGGTTAAGGTCGTTGACTTCAAACCACTTGCCCCTCACCGCTGTGGGTTTGAATCCCGACAGGGACTTTGGATTCTTTCATGTGAGGAAGTTATCCAGCTAGCTTACGGAACGTCGGTGGTTCTACTCAGGTGCCCGTTCGTGCCTGAAATAATTCACGGAAGGGCACATGAGGTCTTCCTCCACCAGTAAAAGCTGGAATGTCGCGATATGACCTATACTGTGTTGATGTGACGTAAAACCCAAAACAAACAAACAAAAACTTCGAAGAAGAGGGGGTATATCGCTTTGCACTTGTCGGTCCGTAGACCAAATGGTTTCCGAGTGATAACTATAGAACCCTCAGGCCTAGGAACTTCAAACTTGGTATGGTGATTGGTCATGACCAGTAAATGACCCCTATTGATTTTGGGGTCAAGGGGTCAAAGTTCAAGGTCACATTGATCTTGTAGGTAAAAACGGCTTCCGATCAATAACTAAAGAACCCTTAGGCCTAGGAACTTCAAACTTGGTATGATGATTGGTCATGACCAGCAGATAAGCTCTATTGATTTTGGGGTCAAGGGATCAAAGGTCAAGGTCGCATTGACCTTTAAGGTAAAAACCGTTTCCGATCAATAACTAAAGAAAGCTTAGGCCTAGGTACTTCAAACTTAGTATGATGATTTGTCATGACCATCAGATGACCCCTATTGATTTTGGGGTCAAGGGGTGAAAGGTCAAGGTCACATTGACTTTGTAGGTGAAAACGGTTTCCGATCAATAAATAAAGAACGCTTAGGCCGAGGTACTTCAAACTTGATATTATGATTAGTCATGGCCAGCAGATGTCCCCTTTTGTTTTTTGGGTCAAGGGGTCAAAGGTCAAGGTCACATTGACCTTATAGGTAAAAACGGTTTCCGATCAATAACTTAAGCACACTTAGGCCTCGGAACTTCAAACTTGGTATGATGATTGGTCATGACCAGCAATGACCCCTATTGATTTTTGGGTCAAAGGTCAAGGTCATATTGACCTTGTAGGATAAAACGGTTTCTGATCAATTACTAAAGAACCCTTAGTCCTTGGAACTTCAAACTTGGTATGGTGATTGGTGATGACCAGCAAATGACCCCTATTGATTTTGGGGTCAAGGGGTCAAAAGTCAAGGTCACATTGACGTTGTAGGTAAAAACGGTTTCCGATCAATAACTAAAGAACCCTTAGGCCTAGGAACCTCAAACTTGATATGATGATTGGTCATGACCAGTAGATGACCCCTATTGATTTTGGGGTCAATGGGTCAATGTCATAGTGACCTTGTATTAAATGACTGTTTCTGACCAATAACTCGACAACTCAAGTTGCCTTGGTTGATATTTTTATGTGCTTTTGGTATACACATTTGAAGGTCTTATGTAATATAACAACTTGGCTGTCATTAATGAGGCCTATGTGATTCATAAAATTTATGTATACATTATTTGGTAAGATTTTTAATAACTTTTATTGCTGCACACAACCTACAGGGTCACAATAATTATTACCTTGTGACTAGTCATGGCCAGTAGATACTAGATAACCACTATTAATTTCTTGTTCACTGGGTCAGAAGTCATGCATAATAACCTGATCACATGACAAATTGGCTGCCGATAGGGGGCATAATAGTTCCCGGTGGTTGTCGTTTTCATAGGGAAAAAAAAGTGGTTTAGCTCTACACCGTTTGTATCACAGATTATAATGGCCATAACCTTCCCGGCTGACTTGGAAATTATCGGGAAGGGGAGGAAGGATGCTTCCAGACAGATCTCTGACGTTGCTTTCCGGTTCAAAAAAAGTGAATCCGCGTATAATCACATGTTATCACTCGATATAAAAAGTAATCGCCTTCTTTACGATACCTCCTGTCGTACTACTGACACATTTTCACCTTTACCCCCATCTGCTCCGACGTCAACAAACGAAGCAGCCATCTTTCTTAAACGCGTCGCATTCCTAATCTATCAATCATAATGCCCTAAGCTGTACCATATATAATAACGACCTTATCTGCCACGTGCTTCACACTTACTCGTCTATCTCGGAGTATGTACTTTTGAATGGCAGCCACTGTTTCTTCATCTGTTACAGTCACTAGTCTACCTGCATGACTGTCGTCTTCAGTTGCCCCTTTATCATCTTTAAACTGCTTCATCCACTTTGAAATGGCACCTTTTGACAGAACAGTCTCTCCGTAAACTTTTTGCAAATCTTTACGAGTATCGGAAAAAGACTTTCCGAATTTTGTGTGAAACTTTATAACGATGCGTTGTTCGTTGACGCTGTGTGACGCCATTTTCGAACGGATGCCCAAAACGTGACTTCATTTACGGTTTATGACGTAATAAGTGATGACATCAAAGTTTTGTACATAGTAAGAT